GCAGGGTCGGGGTGCACAGCCAGGGTCGGGGCGCACAGCCAGGGTCGGGGTTCACAGCCAGGGTCGGGGCGCACAGCCAGGGTCGGGGCGCACAGGCAGGGTCGGGGTGCACAGGCAGGGTCGGGGCGCACAGGCAGGGTCGGGGTGCACAGCCAGGGTCGGGGCGCACAGCCAGGGTCGGGGCGCACAGCCAGGCTCGGGGCGCACAGCCAGGCTCGGGGTGCCTGCCCGGCCTACACCGGATCTGACTGGACCCCGGAGGGGGACCCCGGACCCGAAGCACCCCGAGCTGCCCACCCGGGTCCCAGGACCTTTGCACACGCTGCGTGCCCAGACCCCCGGGGGCCCCGCAGCCCTGGCGCCCAAGCCTGGGGATCCCCGGGGCTGAAATCCGGGGTCCGCGCCCATCTGCATAGACCGGGTCCAGGCAGCCTTGGCACTGAGTTCAAACCCGGCTCCCGTCTGCTTCTGCGCCCGTGGTCCAGCCTGGGGGACTCAGTTTCCCTTTCGGACAAGGGTGTCCCGGGACCCCGGGTGCAAAGAGCGACGCCTGCGCCCTGAAGGCCGAGTCCCCGCGGCCATGCACGCTCTGCAAGGCCTCAGTTTCCCCCCCTGGCCCTCCGCAGGCGAACACAGATGGCGCCGCCTGGCCGGGCAGGAAGGGGCCCCTGCCGGAGTCGGGGTGGGGAGCTGGCACGGGCGCCCCGGCAGCTGGGACTCTTGGCAGCCGGTGGCAGCCGGAGGCGGCTGGACACGCGCCCGAGCTTGGGTGGGGGACCCCACTCACAGGAGGAGGGAACCCCGTGCGCACTGACCGGGCGCCTGCTGCAGAGGCGGCCACGCTCCAGGGCCGTGGCCTTGTCCCACCGCGGGCCCTCACCACTCCTGACAGCAGAGCCGGCCACCTCGTCAGCAGATGCTGGCCGCTCTCCCAGGCCTTTGCACGCACCGTGAGAACCGTCCTTAGACCTGGTGAGGCAGGTGTCGCTGCTGAGCCCATTCTACAGATGGGGAAACCGCGGCTGGGGAGGCGAAATAGTGGAGTAGACTGCCTGGCCTTGGCCTGGGGATGCAGCTGTTCAAAGGGTCCCTCCCCACCAACCCCCTGTCTCCCCCACCACCACCCCGGTACCCCCAGGCAGGACTGGGAGTGGCTATGCTGGATGTGGGGGCGGGGCTATGCCGGGGCGGGGCAAAACGAGTACTAGTTATGCTTGCCGGGGGTGGCTGTGATGGGGAAGGGGCGAGGCTACGCTGAAGATGGGCGTGGCTACGCTTGGAGGGGTGTGGCTTGCTGGGGCGGGGAGGGCGGGACAGGGCGTGGCTGGGAATGAGGGACGTGGTTATTATGGGGCGGGGCCATGATTAATGAATGGACGGGACAGGGCGTGGCTGGGGCGGGGC